TTAATGAATCACAGATCTGTGTTTCAAGAAAATGCCGCTGCGAGATGACTGACGTAAAAATCGTTCAGCCAAACGCCAAAAAAGCGTAACTGATCTGAGATGTATCCTTTACACAGAGGTAACTGATCTAGATTTGTTTCTTTTTGTTGGCTTGTGTCAAAAGCTCAAGGTTAGGGTCACTGGCTCTAAAAATTAATAAAACGGCACAATATTTTAGTGAAAGGTAGCTATATATGCATATATAGTAACTATATATGTACATATAGTTAAATTCGTTCCGCAGCCGGTGTACTGACAAGGATAGATCCGTAAAGCTTAAAGGAACGAAATGCCCTGTTCTTACTACGCGTATACTTTATTCCATTCAATCATATATAACATAGATTCACATGGATAATTTTAATTTTCCTTCGAAGCGTGAGCAACGAGAAGGGCTCCGAAAATCACAGCTACTTGCGTTTTTTATTGCTTCTGTGGTATCATCCCTAATTTCTTCGGGACGCAGCAATAAATTCCGTATTATCAATTGTCCCTTAATTAGGCCGAGGTGTTTGGTCCTGGTGAACCTCTACTCAAACACCCAGCAAAAGCCATTTTTCTCTTAGAAGCGGAAACTTTTTTTATCGAGCGAGCGTTCATTTAGCAACACTGCTTGTTTGATTTGTAAACTAAGACAGTAATTGCTGCGCCTAGAGGAAAGCAGCCCTCGTCCATTTCCTGCCAGCCTTTCTCTCATTGTACTTTAAATGCCTTCGGCAGAAAGCGACGTCTTTTATTACTCTAAAATTGAAATTACTGGTGCGGTGCAGCTTGTGGATGTGGAAGTTTGCCAGATATGCGTGTACTTGTAGCAGATTCAATTATCGACTTCCATACATTTCGTGCTGCTCGCCTCGTCGTCTAGGAACAGATCCGTCCTTTCTGAATGCGGTGCCCGTCTGCTTATTGTCCGATTTAAAGTAGTTACAAATATTCCTTTTTTTTTGAAATTTCCAACATACTTCTATAGTAGCACCTTCAGCCTAGCCAGAGCAAACTCTGCCCAGATTCCGTCCCAAGAGTTCAAAACACTCGTCTACGCAAAAGTCGCAGCATCGCCACCAGTGAAACAAGCACTATCCGACAAAAACTGCAGCCTCTCCTTTCGAAAACTGTTTCGGCAAGCTGAAAACGATTAAAGTTCCCAACATCCCTCACATGCCGCTGCACTACACCAGATCGCTAAAAAATTGACTTTCTGTTAGGTTAGTCAAAAGATAGTGTGGCGCATCACTACATCAAATTCTAAGGTATCATTTCAGTCAGCTGACAAAGAAACCAACCTATCCAATCACATATGAACGAAACAGCTAGTATGACTGGACTTGCTTTGATGCTTTGATCGATTGCAGTCTGTAATTTTAATCGAAATCCATAATCAGTACAGCCTGTCTCGATTTAGACAATCAGTCACCGGGCCTTCATTGCTCGCCAATATTCTGTAAAAAATGCGCTAGAAAGAGTAAGGAAATGTTTGCGAAATTTTTCATTAATCAGTCGCTTAAATCATTAATGGCCGGGGAACGATAAAAGAAGCGGCATCATTCATAATTTTATAAAGTACTGGTTCAGGAATGATGATTTTTTATGCGTTTTTGCATGTATACAAATGCAGAAACGTATCTATAATGATCCATGGTGTGTGTAAGTATATTTTTTGCTCGCATTTTAACTCGGCAACCAAACAAACCTCGACACTGAAATTTTGCCACTGTGTTTCCCGATCAAACGCTATTCCTTTCGCCGGATAAAACCTTCAAGCACGTCTGGGCCTCCCCCTGCATATGAGTACACGTAAGTTTGGCGGGAAAATTGTTAATTCGGGTGCTAGAAAAGCTGGAAAGCTGAAACTTTAAGAGGATGTTCTCTGCCCATCTACAATTTTAGAATTTCCAATTCAGCCCTCAGACACGCCTGCTTCTCTAGTATGGGCACATGAAAATTGCGGTGGGAGAATTGTTAACTTAGGAACCAAAAAAGCTGAAAGGCTGGAATTTTAAAAGGGCGTTCCCGCCCACGCATAATTCCAGGTGTGCGTGGTGCGTGGTTCCTGCGGGTATGTAAAATTTTGGCGGGGAAATTGCTCATTGAACAGCTTGGTCATTTTCAGAAAACGACCACTCATCGGGTACTGTTCATTTTCCCTTATGCAGTGTTTGCGATGATTTACGCTGATGATTATACAAGCTAAATTTAAAACAACACGACTGCTTCAAGTTTAGTGCAGAAACGCATAACCGCACCGACAAGCCTGGTGCGTTACAGCCTGGATTGTCTGCGTAAGCCATTTTCGTCTGACAGTTCCGAAACGAGCAATTTAATCAGCATAAAACGCATCAGTGAGCAATAAAAGCGCTGAGGCTCAGAAAATTAGCTGCTTTTTCAAACCGACTCTTCCCGCAGAACTTCTCTTACATTCCAGCCAGCATTTCGTTGAATTTATCGTG